TCGAGATAACGGAGGTTGAGGTGCTGAGAACAAACCGGAGAGCATGTCATTGCAACAAAACATGCAGACGCACCAAATCCAAATTCAAACAGGTGGTAAACACCATTGACCTTTCTTAATATAGATTTACATTAATTGTACCCGTTATTTCACATCAGTAAAAAATAAAAAATAAACAATTGTGCAAATGAACACAAAACCTGTTTTACAATCCCTGGTCATCCACTTCTCCGTTTCACTACCGGAGCGTACGCTACGATCGTATGCAGTCAATCAAGCGGCGCTAAACTTTTATCGTCATGGCACCCGTCGTTTTTATACGTTTGCGATCACAGACTATTTCTTGCATTGTTTCCTGTCCGTGATTGATTTAGCCGGCAGAGCAAACGATCAAAGACGACGAGCGCCACTACGATACACTTTTGGCTCTATTGAATTTGCTCCGTCGGGTCGCGGTGTCGGCTGCGTCGGATTTAGAGTGAACCAGGGCACAGACACTTCCAAAAGACACCTTGTGCGTGATGCCATCTTTGTCTGCTAGCCCGGGAATCACCTTCAGGGCATGCGCTGTTAATATGTTGTGCGGTATATCAGACGGTGTGCATGCGTCTACAGCTCGGTGAGTGAGATATGTTCGCCCTGGTGATAAGCGCTGGAAAGGTCTATAAGATAAACATGCTGCATACAACGAGAACACTATGTGCAAGAGCTGTCGGCTCCAAATGATGCAGATTCTTTGTATACGTCTGGAGATACATATAGATATTTTATTCGCTCAAATTTACTATAGTGAGTGACAGCCCAACAAGCGCATTCTATGGGCCATAGGAATTTAGGTATGGCCCACAGAACGCGTCTGAGACTGTCGTGTTCAGCGGCCTATTGATATGCTATTGAGTATTGACCCCTTTGGAAGGCCACGTGCCGATTGATAGAAGATATGCCCCACTGCTCAATTACGTAGCAACCGACCCCAAGAAACGTGCAAATAGCGCCAGCGGGACTGGGTAGCTTCGACTTGCGCTACCGCTGCACGACATCGGGCAGGCGAGCCGAGGCGCAATCGAAAGCAAGGAGCTCGAGCTTTTGTCCGGATTTCTGCAGGGATGAAGAGGCTTCCAACAGAAAGGGCTTCCAACAGAAAACAGAATTTTGAAAGTGTTTTTTTTTTTTACGCCTATTCATCAAAAAGGGTCTTCACGTCGCAACCCCCAATGATGTCGCAAAAGCCGGAGTGTTATATGCTGTCCTATTGCGATACTGGCGGCTGGTCGAAGTTCTGGCAAGAAAGCACGAGAGAATGCGAGTGTCGCCGTAGTCGCTACCCATGCCTGCCGAAACTTTCGCGCACCGTCAAGCTTGAGAGCGACCTGTGTAAGAACATGCGACTGCCACACACACCACAGCTGTTGGGACGCCGCCAAGATCGCGACTGGAGACAACATGACACTTCTATGACGTCATCAGGCGGAAATTGAGGGACATGGTATATAGGCGCATAAAGCCACAACCGCGCATAAAAAAAGAATGTCGATTTTTTTTATTTTTAAAATAACTGAAAGGGCATCCGTTCGCATAAATTAATAGCAAAGTTTTAGATGTTGACATACATTGGGCCATATCCGCTCAATTTCTCAGTGTGGCAGATAATTTGAGCGGCCGTGGTCGTGAGGTTTTTTACATTATGGGCGTAGTGTAGCGGTTACTTGTGCTCGTGGAGGCTACTGAAACCTGGACCTGGCATTGACCGCAAAGTCCTGACAATGACCGCCAGTTAGCTATCTTAATCGTCAGCGTTATCGGTTTCGGTTTCTGTTCATCAGTGTTTTGTATTTGGCAGTGTATTACCATAACTTGAAAATATTAATAACAATGCAAAACTGCTTTAATTTTATTACATTTCTATACAATGTAGTGAGATTGTTTAGCAATTCAAGAGCAACTTTCAATCGTTGCCTCTGTGGGACCATCGCCATCATAAACTAAAAGCAGCGGAGTGGCACAAGTGAACTGATCGGAGAAAACCATGGACTCTGTAAGTCTGCGATCCCGTGCTGCCGCCTTTTGGAGCTAATTAAAAGTGCTTCTCTGGGCAAATTTTTTTTACGTTATTATCTTAGTTAGAAGGCAGTACACTTTTATGTTCGTATTTTGCCTTTCAGTTTATATTTGTGGTAGAACGCGCGCGGCGAAGGAATCTGGAAAGCGGCCACGAATGAAGAATGTAGAGAAATTCTGATTTGCTTGGAGTGACTTCATGGTCACATTATCACTACTTGTCGGCGCGTCTGTGGCGCGACGCAACTGAGTGGCAACACTTAAATGCAGCCAATCTATGTGGATTGTTTGAAACCTTGTAAAGAAGCTGCTCTGTCGCGTGATTATGTACAGTCGTCATGAATCTAGCTGCAACGTTCTGGTAAGTCTTGATTTACGAAGTTCAGGTCCTCTGCAGTAAAACCTGCATTAAAAATAGAACTGTAAAGTCTAAGATGCATCTAACAGTTTAAAAAAGAACATCCGCATTTGATGCCTGGGATCCCAACAAAAACTATCTTAAGCCTAGTTTGTATTTTTTACATCAGCAAGTGGCTCCTTTTGGGGTTTTTTGACCTTGTAATATGCAATTGAAAAATTGATGGACTTTTTCTGCAATGTGATAGTGCATATAGTTTTTTTTTTCATTTACTACAGTTTTATTGTTAGCAACATTTCGGATTCTTGAAAGCTGCTATTTAATTTATTGTTACTATTAACATCCATGACCTTGCTTGCAGCCTCTCCAGAAGCTAATTAATTTCAGGCTTTAAAACTTTCTTCGCACAAGTCTAGGGACGTAAGAACTGTATACCTTTTCATCCTCAGTCGCATGGGCGGTGCTATTTTGGAAGCAGGTGACGGGCAGCCATTAGGTTGCTTCAACTCGTCGCTCCGCTCTCGCGTCCTCGTCTTGGCGGATCCGTTGCGTATTTTTAGTAGCGTTTCAATGCGCTTTATTGCCTCAATCCATAAAATGTAGTTTTATGCTCAAATTCAGTACCTAATTGTATTACATTATAATTTACACAACTTCTGCAGTTAATTTCGTACCTCCATTTGACTATATTTACCGTCGGCGTACTGAATGCAGTGTGAGAATGAGACCAATGACGTACCCGATGACCTGAACATGAGTCCAGTCGTTTCGCTGCCGATCATAATGCCGTGCCTTTGTGAGAATGCTTGAGCCAAGCACACAAATGCAGCAATTACTATAAGAGAAAAAATACTATGCATATTTTCGTTATGCGCGAGCTCTCAGCGAGCTTTCACCAGGCTATTTTGCACTGTCAGAGCTGCTAATCGTCTCAGCATAGTTTGAAAACCTGCGAAGCGTGTTCGCCAGAAACAAACTTTGAAGATGGCCCTTTCTAAAACGGTTTAGCGGAATATTAACTTCGTTAAAAGAGAGCCTTTTATAGACTGAGAACCGAATAAGTATAACCCCCATTAATTAAACAATAATAAAAAAGCTTAGTGTTCTCTCATTCTTTAATTTAGTATAAAGGTGTGTCTAGCTTACATATTTTTCTAAGTATCAAAAAATATAAAATATTTAAATAAAAAGAAGAGAAAAGCATAACTACTGGGCACCAGCATAAAGTCGAACCTTCCTCGTGCCAATGTAAAACAACATTATGTAATATTGTATTTATTTCGTCTCAGGACAGCCGCGACGCAGCGGAAAACACTTCGTCGCGCCTAGGAAAACCACGTCTCTACGTAATGATAGAGTGGAGCTGCATAAAGTATAGACCAATTAGTAAATGGTGGGGATGAGTTTGGAATGTTAAGCTTGCGATTGTAGGTGAAAGGATGGTTTTGAAAATGCACAAGCTGTTTGGATTTCCACACACAATTTTACTGCGCTCTTGCTCAGACACCTGTCCACAAAGTGACATAATATAATAAGGTTCGCATGGAAAGGTTTTTAATTCCCAAGTTACTATAACAAAAGTTATAGTAAATATTATAATTCTAACGGTCGCGTTTGTTCCCTTGTATTTCAAATAAAATGCCCAAATAGCTTATAGGGACACATTTCAACATTTATCTTTACACGGATTAACTACTAATTTTAAGTTACATTGGTAACTTTTTGTTGAAACATAAAATTACCTAAATATCTTCGAAAAAGAACGCTTCCACTTATAGCCTCACTTTTACGAAGTTTGCTTTTCGAAGGGTTCAAGTGAAGGTCGCTCTCAGGTCACCATTCGTAAACGGTACTTGAGTCTTATGGAGCTTAGTGCAGTCTTTGAGTGACCTTGTTTGTTTTTCCCGCGCCGCCACGCCGCTATTCGCCGAGATCCACCACGTGAGGAGCAAAGCATCCGGCGCCGTGCAAGAAAGCCACCTTTACGGTAGCTCCGCCGACGTTGCTCGCGCTCCGGCGTATGTTCACCTGATTTCGCCTCCTTCTCCTCTTTTTCTGTTTTCTATGCGCGGCGGCGCGCGTGGCGCCGCTATTCGCCAAATTTAGTCACGTGGGGAGCAAAGCATTCAGGGCGTGCAGGAAAGCCGCCGCTACGGCCACCCGCCGAGGCTGAATGCGCAACTCTGCTACCGTAGGTAGCGATATACAGGAACTCTAGGGGACATGCCTCCTGTGACTCTTCCTTACCTTAAAAACACTCATTCTTCTAATGGCTTCTGACAAAGCCAGGTGTGCGAGTTCAATTGTTTAGAGTATGGTGACGCACGGCACGTGTCGGAACGTGACCGCGGTACAGATCGCATTACTTTCGCAAGTGCCATCATAAAGCGACCCGCGGTCTCTCATTGGTCATTCTGGTTATACGTTCACATGTCTTAGCTCACACAGCCTCATATATAAAGAGGGGAATACGTGTCGCTAGCAGTCTGATATAGCGACAGCCTTTTTTGTCAGCACGTGTCTAAGGCTGATATCGTACTAGTCTTCTGTTCTTCATATTTGGTTCCTTAAGCGAGAAGTGATAATGCTGGCCGCAACAGTTTTCACGGTAATCATTGCGGCTTTTGGTAAGTTATGGAATATTATATATTAATGCTTCACATGTTTCATATATTATTCCTGCTCTACTCAACAGGTCCAATAACGTGTTTTGAAGAAAGTTTTTATTGGCGATGTCCAGACGAAGAATTCCAGGGTGTAAGTGCATTTTAACTACTTATAAGCAATCACAGCGTTATCATTTGTCTTTATTTTGGTGAGACGGTGTGTGTATGACATTTATGAAATGTTTTGCCTAAGTTGCGTATGCGTGTTTTAATGCTGTAGATCTTGTTCACTGAGTGGCGAAGTTACCAAAAAGGACAGTATGAGCGTAGTGCCACTCTTACATACCCTAGAAAAAGCGTCCATGAGACTTCACCACTCACGCTCGAGCAAAACGCATGAGCAGACACAACTACACTGAATGTTTATGGCAGCATATTGGACGCGAAAGAAAATTGAAAATCGTAGCAATATGTTGCTCTGAAAGAATAAATATAGTTTAATATATTAAAGGTAAAGTGCACTAGTACCAATGCTCATCAAAATTTCAATCGATCTCCCTGGTATAACCTAGAACAAGAAACAAGAGGGCCTCAAATACCATATTTCTTACGCTATAACGCCTCTTATTTTAGTTGTAACAAAAAGCGTTCTGAGTCTATGAGAATTTAATATAAATTTTGAAATTTAACTTAGTGTTCTAAAAGCTTGGCTACTGTGTGAACTAAATCGCTGAAAAAGAACGGTCAATAATGTCGAGACACATAGACACACCTACCTATTTTTATTCACGCCTTTTTTTCTGCTCCGTCATTCCTTTTGGGGGTTTAATCTCCAAAGCTGGCAGTTCCAACGAGCCTTGCAGCATTCCCTTCCAGTGTTTTCCTTGCCCCTTTTTCTTAATAAAAATATAATTATTGTAAAGTGCCTGTTCATGCATTTGTTTTGGATCTTTTGAAACACTGCTACCCTTCCTTTACATTGTCTTACTTTTCGCTTTTCGTTGTAAACATGGCAAGCATATAAGCATGATCTTGAAAACACAAATTTTATTTTGACCAATGACGTTTTGTTTTCAAAGTACAGTTCAATAACGAGTGGACATCTGATATCAATGATTAAATAATATTACTTTATAGCTTTTCATTCTTTTGTCGGCAGATAACTTGCATTAATTGCACGCTTAACTACACTCTTCTCTTATCGCTGTCTCCACTAATTTCCTGTTTTATTTGAGAATAAGTATAGATATATTTATATAAGGAAGAAAAGTCTGCTCTTCGGCTGTAAGCGGTACGGTTACAGTGATTAAGCCCCCAGTAATTTTTGTAATTTATTATGCCGTAAAATATGTCTGGCGTTTGGCATTTGGAAATTTTCAAGTTTCCTTATTGCACCTATTCAAATGGTATTAAAGGGTAATTCCTGATTTTGGCACTTGTCATTGACATAGAACAACGCTTCCAAAACAAATATCTATTATCTTCACAATTGCCCTACATTTTTCTACGAGTACGAATCAAAGTATTATAAAAAGTTGGGGCTCCAATCCATGCTGTGGAGGTGGTTGGCCAGCGCAGCTGTGCTATTACTTCAAACGATTGCCCACTGCACAATGAGCCCTTTTGTATTGCAGACACCACCAGGCGGTACTCCAGTCTTTCATGTTTCAGAGAACTTCCGGTTTATAAAAAGAATGAACAAAAGACAGCTTAACACCACTGCTTGAAATATAGATGAAACGTTTGACCACCAATTGACCAGGCAAACGCCAAAACAACGTAGGGGTGCGAGATTTGTTAAAATGCTTCGAGTATTCTTGTAAACCAACTTGCCTCCTCCAAGATGTAATATTGTCCAGCCGAAGGCCCTCGTTAAATCTCCAGGTTTGTTGTCCATGTAGCATTTATGGCTTCCAGCACTGGTGACATAAGCAATCTCAACAGGCCTGCAAAGACGGTGCTACCGGAAGTCGCCTGGGACGCCGGCGGCAGTTCATGTTTGTAAATAGCAAAAGGTCTATAACCAAATGAGCGACGCTAGAAAAGTAAATGCACCGTACCAAAACTTTTTTTTTTATATATGAAACCCTTCGTACGCTGCCTTTGACGTGGCAGATTATGCAGCAGCAATTTTCACCTTTTATTTATTTATTTATTTATTTAAAATACCCTCAAGGCCACCGGCTTTACAAAGGGATGTGGGGGTTAGTGGCAGTTGTACTTTGCAGCTCAATCTGAGCAGTATAGATTATTTAGAGCAGTTCTAAATAAGCAGTCCGGAACAACTGTTGCAATAGATGCGGGAAGGTGGTTCCAAACCACTGAAGGTTTCGGAATGAATGACTCTCGGAGTGCATCAGTGATATAGCTTAGAATGTCTACTTTATACATATGATCAATGCGTGACGAAATATAAGACGGATGATTCAGCAGTCGGTTGTGAAGTAATGAGTTAGTGTGGTATATCTTATGAAAGAGACATAAGCGGGCTGTTTTGCGACGTAAAGTGAGGTTAGGCAACGATAGGCTAGTTTTCCTGGAGCTCACGCTCGCCGTGCGATAAACGTTAATAGGAATAAAACGAGCAGAGTGATTCTGAACTGATTCCAGATCATTAGTTAGTTTGCAATGACCGGGGTCCCAGATGGAAGAAGCATATTGCAATTTAGAGCGTACAAACGTTTTGTGCAGTGTTAGTTTCAGAGATGAAGGGGCAAGCGAAAAGTTTCGTTTTAGATAACCCAGCATTCGATTAGCGTTATTAATAACCTACTCAGCATGCTTTGCCAGGAAATATCTGAAGTTATATACAAACCTAAGTATACATAAAAGAGACAGAAAGTAAGGGGACATTTTCGAGAAAATAAGAAGGAGCATTACATTCAACGATACACTAATGGCCGTGGATTTAGTCGTCTTAAGTTCCATCCCCCATAATTCACACCATTTTGAAACATGGTTTAATGTGGGTTTGTATATTCAGAACATCCCAGGCGTTAGTAACTTCTCTGTAAGTAACACAATCATTAGCGAAAAAACTAATTCAAAAATATATCGAATTCGGCAAATCATTAATATAAATAAGGAACAATAGCGGACCTAATACAGAACATTCTGGTACTCCAGAATTGACGGAGGCGAGTGGTGATGTGTCATCGTTAGCGGTTACAGACTGGGGACGATCAGTGAGAAAACAAGTTATCTAGGGCAGAACACTTGCGTCAATGTTTAAGCTGTTAAGTTTTAATAGCAGCAGGTTGTGTGAAACTTTATTGAATGCTTTGGAAAAGTTAAAAAAATGCAGTCTACCTGGGATCCTCGGTCAAGCGCTAGGTGCAAATCATGGGTCAATGACAAAAGTTGTGTTTCGCAAGAGAAGGATTTACAAAAGCCATGCTGAGCGTTGCTGAAGAAAAGGTTCGAAGATAAACATTGAACTAGTTGTGAGTAGATGATATGTTCTAGGATCTTGCATGGAATGCAAGTAAGCGAAATTGGTCGATAGCTTTTTGGGGAATATTTATCACCTCTCTTGTGGAGTATTACTCCCTTCCCTATCTTCCAATCAGCAGGCAAATCTCCAAGTGAAAGCGACTGGGAAAAAATTTGAGATAATATCAAAGAGCAATACATTTTTGTGTTTTTGAGGAACTTTGAGTTAATGCTGTCGGTGCCAGCAGCGGAAGGAAGTTTTAAATTATCGACTACTTTAACAATGCGAATGGGATCGACAAGAACGGGCCCCATAAGCAAAAAGTCACTCTCGTCAAATCTACAAGAAGGCGCGTTAATAACGGTTTGAAAGAACTTAATAAAAGCATCATTCAAAACGCATGCATATTATTGCTAGAAATGATATCTCCTTTCGCGGCTTTGACTGAAATTACGAATTTTTCTTTTTTACTAACAACATTCCCAAACTCCTTTGGGTTAATGGCTAGTATAGACGGTAGCTTAACGTTAAGATACTCGTATTTCGCGTCTTGAACAGCATTTTCGTAAACTGCGTTGCCGTTGTGATGACACTCCCACCGGTTCCAGTTACTGGAAGATTTAGCGGCACGACACAGTCTATTTTGCGTGGTCGATAGCCTCCTCAGTGATGGGTTATACCACGGTGATTGAGGGTGAGACGTTAGAGATTGCAGTTAACTGTACTTGTCGGTAAGGACGGCGACTTGACCCTTAAAAATATTCCAGTTCTGCTCAACGGAACACTCGCAGCAGTTAACAAAATAGTGATCTACGAACTGACTCAGCGCATCGTTTATAGTGTCGAAATTAGCTTTTCTGTAGTCTCGAATAAGTTTTATCTTTTTTTCTACCAATACACTTTGGTATGCTTCGAGAGACAAGTACCGAGCAGTGATCACTTAGTCCTGTTAGGTGACATATTAGGGATACAAGGTCAGGCGTGGAGGTTAGAACAAGGTCAAGAACATGTACTGACGTGGCTGCAATTATGGTGGGTTCTGTAACTAGCTGCGATATGTTAGAATCGGAACACATATTCAAGAAATAAAAACATTGCAATGAAAATGGATTATTAAACGGGCTCTTGTGCGACCAACAGGTGTTTGGGTAATTAAAATCGCCTATAAGAAATATTGGACTGGTTGGAAACCTTGTTACAACCATATTGAGAGCATCATGGAGTTCGTTTACAAAAATAAAGGTACACTTCGGCGGACGATAGCAAACACAAAGAATAACTTTTTTATAATTCACCTCAAAACGAACGCAGAGAAACTCAATATTTAACGCCAAGTTCACACAGTAGGAAACAATATAGTGAGCTACTGCAATTAGTACACCACCTCCAGATCCAAACTGCCTATCGGAACGATACACGTTAAAACGTTTTGGACCATCGAATACTTCACTGTTCCGTATTATAGCGGAAAGCAATGTCTCGGTGAGTACTACGACGTCAGCCGTTGACGAGTCAAGGACAGCGAATAACTCATGTAGTTTTTTTTTTGCCGCGCTCTTTATGTCAGTAAAAAAGATAGACATATTTTCGGAAGAATGACAATGATCGTTTCTCTGAAGCTATGACAGAGGGGCTTCACTCGCTGGCTCAGCAAGGGCGCCAGTGGCTACATCGGCAAGACTAATCTCAGAGAGGGCCCCGAGCTCACGCACACTATC